TGGCCTGGGTCCGACCTACCTGAGGGACCGCCTTTCCCCATATATACCCCCAAGAGCACTTCGGTCGGGGACCCAGAACCAGTTGGTAGTTCCGGGCCCTCGAGAGGCAAAGTTCGCTGCTACAAGGGCCAGAGCCTTCTCAGTGGCGGCCCCCACCTGGTGGAATGAGCTCCTGGAGGAGATCAGGGCCCTGTGGGACCTTATGCAGTTCCGCAGGGCCTGCAAGACGAAGCTCTTCCACCAGGCTTTCATGTAGGGGCCGCCACTGCCACCGCTGTCACCATCATTATCATCGGTGGCAATACCATCGTAGTTGGGATGCCCTTGGAAACCCAGCGGTATAAGAACTTCGCGACAATGAAAACTGTGGACGGGCTCGGACGATTCTCTCGACAGTGGTCCCCCAAATGGGGGCGGCTGGAAGTCATCATAAAACAACTTAAGACCATCTGATAAAAGGAAGCACTTTATTGTTTAATTGTAATGTCTTGATTATGTTTTTTACGGTTTTATTGGTTTTATCTATGGGCTATGCCCCTTGTAAGCCGCCCTTAGCATAATAGGCCACACCCCTGATAACACAGCTCATTAGCATATTAGGCCACACCCCACATGTTACCAGAAGTGTGGTCATCCAACCACACCCACCTTTTGCTTCTTATTCTGTTTACCGTTTGTTGTCAAAACCCAGGGCTTTTCTTGTAGCAGGAACTCCTTTGCATGTTAGGCCACACACCCCTAATGTAGCCAATCCTAATGAGTTTCTGCTGTTGGGTGTGGCCTATTATGCTAATGAGTTCCTGCTGGGTGTGGCCAACTCGGAAGCCAGCCGGAATGCCGTTCCTGTGCGTCCCTGCCCAAAAATAGCCCTGAGGCCCCCGTAAGTCAGCTGCGACTTGACAGCAAATAAGGAAGGAGGTGTGTATATACCCTCCTTTCCAACCACATCCACCTTTTGCTTCTTATTCTGTTTACTCTGTTGTCAAAACCCTGGGCTTTTCTTGTAGCAGGAACTTCTTTGCCACACACCCCTAATTGTAGCCAATCCCAATGAGTGTCTGCTGTTAGGTGTGGCCTATTATGCTAATGAGTTCCTACTGGGTGTGGCCAACTCAGGAGCCAGCCGGAACTCCGTTCCTGTGCGTTCCTGCCCAAAAATAGCCCTGAACCCTTGCATGTTATTGTTGAGTTGCAAATAACTGAACTTTTAAAAATTAGGTTATTGACTGTGTCTTGCAATTGAATTTCAAATGCATTCAAGAATAGAGGTGGAGGAAGAGAGTCTGCCTTGCAAATGCAATCAGTGTTAAGTGTTGCAATGCCTGGCTAGGTGTTGAAAAAGAGATGCCTTCTACATAGTAACCTAATCACTCCTCTTGTGGTTTCAGACTTCAGCCACTCCATATGTACTCTGTGTGTCTTTTGGTCGGCTTGTATTCCGTCGTTCCTTGGAGAGCATTATGGGAGCCGTCAAAACTTCAGGTGGACAACTGCCGAAGAGTGTGGTGGGCCAATCTGTTGCTGATTAACAATTTAATTGCTGGGACAGAATCAGTAAGTCTATCTGTTGCTAGGGATGTGCATTCATTTTCAGTTGACTGAAAAACAGAATTCATGTGGCATAGTGGTTAGAGTGTCAGATTAGGAGCTGGAAGAACCAGGTTCGAATCCCCACTCGGCCATGGAATTTTGCTGGGTGACCTTGGGCCAGTCACACACTCTCAGCCTAACCTACCTCACAGGGTTGTTGTGAGGATAAAACTGAGGAAGGGAGAACAGTGTTGTAAATTGCTTTCGGTCCCCATTGGGGTTAAAGTGGAGGATAAATTTCTAGATCAATAAAGCAGATCAATAAATAAAACAAATGGGGGTTGGGATGAATGAACTAGTACCAAGAACTTGTGGGCACTCAGTGAAATTTCTGAGCTATCGAGTTAGAACAGATGAAAGGAAGTACTTCTTCACCCAAAGAGTGATTAACACATGGAATTCACTGCCACAGGAGGTGGTGGCAGCTACAAGCATGGACGACTTCAAAAGGGAATTAGATAAACATATGGAGCAGAGGTCCATCCATGGCTATTAGCCACAAGGAATAGATAGGAACTCTCATTCTGGGGCAAGTGATGCTCTGTATCCTTGGTGTTTCGGGAGTGGGGGGTCAACAGTGGGAGGGCTCCTAGTGTCCTGGCCCCACTGCTGGACCTCCTGATGGCACCTGGTATTTTTGGCCACTGTGTGACAGAGTGTTGGACTGGATGGGCCATTGGCCTGATCCAACATTGGCTTCTTTTATGTTCTGATGTTCTTATTGATTTGTTCTTTTCACTGTTGTAGGAGGCTTAACTAGATGATACCTGGGAGATCCATAACTGGAAATATTTTCTCAAAAAGAAGCTGCTGGAAACCCAGTTTGGATCAGATTTGAGGCATGTGGGTATGACAGAGGGGGTGTTGGCCATTTCCCTTTACACTGTTTTTCTGTGGGAAATTGGTGTCTCCAAACTCCCTTTAGGCCCTGGTGGGAAAAAGAGCCATCTTATGGGCTTAAAGGAGCTTGAAGAAGCAGTGATTTCTCCCAGGGAAACAGCACATGAGGAGAAGGGTGCAGTGGTTAAGAGCAGCAGACTTGAATCTGGAGGAACCAGGTGTGATTCCACACTCCTCTTCCACCTGAAGCCTGCTGGGTGATGTTGGGCCAGTCACAGTTCTCTTAGAACTCTCTCAGCCCCACCTGCCTCACAAGGTGCCTGTTGTGGGGAGAGGAAGGGAAGGAAATTGTAAGCCCCTTTGAGACTCCGTAGGGTAGAGAAAAGTGGGGTATGAAAACCAAGCCTTCTTCTTCATCCCACCCATCCCAGGAGCTATGGTTGTCAACTTCCAGGTGGTGGCTGGAGATCTCCTGAGATTAGAACTGATCTTCAGCTGACAGGGATCAGTTCACTTGGAGAAAGTGGCTGCCTTGAAGAAGAAGCAGAAGAGATGAGATTGGATTTATACCCCGCCCTTCACTACCCAAAGGTGTCTCAGAGCGGCTTACAAACTCCTTTCTCTTCCCCTCCCCACAACAGACACCCTGTGAGGTAGGTGGGGCTGAGAGAACTCTTGACAGAAACTGCTCTTTCTCAAGAACACCTGTGCCAGAACTATGGCTTGCCCAAGGTCATCCAGCCAGGTGCAAGTGGAGGAGTGGGGAATCAAACCCAGTTCTCCCAGATTAGACTCAGCACACTTAACCACGACACCAAACTGGCTACACCTTGGAAGGTGGACTCCATGGCATTCTACCCCATTGAAGTCCCTCCCCTCCCCAAGCCCCTCCCCATCAGGCTCCGCCCCCAAAATCTCCAGGCATTTTCCTAGAGGAACTAGGATCCCTATCAGGAGCATAGTCTTGATCCAAACTGCGCCTGACAACAAATTAAAAAATGTTGCAATTGGGAAACTCACTTATGGATCACCTGTATTTTCTTTGTGGCCAGATGGAAGGGGAGGTTTTTAAAAAAAAAATTTAGAACATTTATCTGTCTCCTCGCCAGAGAAGCTGCTCAAGGCAGTTTACAAAGTAAAACATAATAAAGTTGTAAAATGACATAAAAACAATTAAAATGAACTGGCTTTTAAAATTATTTTTAATCAATCAATCAATTCATTAAAACAGCATTAAAACAGCATCATAAAACTGTAAAACAATTTTTAAAAGATCAAGCCCCTTAGTTAAAAGTGTGGCTAAGAAGAAACATTTTAGCCTGGCACTTAAAAGAGAATAAGGTAGGGGCCATGGGAGCATCGAGGAGGAGGGCATTCCACAGGTGAGGTGCCACTACCGAAAAGGCCCTGGCCCTGGTCACCACTACCCATTTAATCTTTGCAGGCGGAAGTGCGGTGCAGGGCTGATGAAGAGGATCATAAAAAGCTTCTCTGTTCTCCCAAACGCACTTTTTATATGCTGCTGTGGCAGCTCCAGACTTAGAATTGCAAACCTCCAGGAGGGGGCTGGAGATCTCCAAGGATACAACTGATCTCCAGACTACAGAGATCAGTTCTGCATGGGGGGGGGGGGAGCTGCATTGGAGGGTGCAGTCTACGACAATAGGCCTCACCCCTAAATGTCCAGGAATTTCAATCTGGGGTTGGCAACCCTATATTAGAATTGCAGCAGTGGTGGCAGCCGTTAGCTAAACAGGCAAGAAGCAGACTATAATTTATTTATTTATTTATTTGACTTCTATCTCGCCCTTCCATATGAGCTCAGGGCGGCTAACAAGAGGCAATTGCCATACATAACACTAAAACCAGACAAAACAATCAATTACATTTACATTTCCACTTAAAATCGGTGCTCACAACAATGTATCATCCAAGACAGGGACTCCAATGCAATGTTTCAGAGGATCTACTGTATCTTCTTGGTCGGTCTTCACTATGTCCATTCTTCAATTCCAAGGCCAGTTCGCACTGCCAAAAATGGCAGCGCGGTGGTGATACAGTGATGGTACAGTGATGGTGGCAGCTCTTTCTCAAAAGCCTGGCGGAAGAGCTCCGTCTTGCAGGCCCTGCGGAACTGCATAAGGTCCCACAGGGCCCTTATCTCCTCCGGGAGCTTGTTCCACCAGATAGGAGCCACCACCGAAAAAGCCCTGGCCCTAGTCGCAGAGAATCTTTCTCTCCCTTTGGTTCCTCCCACCACCCCTGGGGCCATGGCTGTTTTTTCAGCAGCCTCTGAGAGGCAGTGTTCGAAATTCTCTTCCCGTTTGCCCATCTGTCAGCTGGTTGCTTTGCGCACTGCCCACCACAATGGGAGAGGAGAAGGAAGGGGGGTCATATGAAAACTATGATGTAGTCATAATGAAAATGAGAGTGTGTGGTGGTAGAACATGTCAGTTTGCTGTAGTGGTTAGGAGCGCGGATTCTAATCTGGGAGAACCGGGTTTGATGCCCCACTCCTTCACATGCAGCTGCTGGTGTGACCTTGGGTCAGTTACAAGTTCTTTCAGAGCTGTTCTCTCATAAACAGTTCTCGAAAGAGCTCTCTCAGCCCCACCTACCTCACAGGGCGTCTGTTGTGGGGAGGGGAAGGGGGAGGAGATTGTAAGTCACTCTGAGACTCCTTTGGGTAGTGAAGGGCAGGGTAGAGATCCAATCTCCTCCTCCTCGTCTGATGATGATGATGTCGCAGCCAACTTATGGCAACCTCGTAGGGTTCTCAAGGCAAGAGATCAACAGGTTTGCCATTGCCTGCCTTTGCATAGCAACCCTGGACTTCCTTGGTGGTCTCCCATCCAAAGCACTAACCAAGGCCGACCTTCCTTACCTTCCAAAGTCTGGCCAGATCGGGCAAGCCTGTGCCATTCAGTTCAGGGCACGGATGTGTAACAGCAAAGATTTTGAAATTAAATCAAATATGGGATTTTTTTTTAACATCACCGTTTGTTGTAATACACTGTGCATTCAACGGCTTGGTTCATGAGATCTTCTTATCCTAGCTTCCTGAGAGGGAAGAAATCATCCAGCCACATGTTTGTGTTGCACTTGCATTGCATGTTGTTGAGCGATGGAGGGCACCACCTCAGGAATAGTAGCCCAGTAAGGCATAAACCAGGCCTAGGTGGGTAGACACGTCCCCAAGTGTCTTAGGGAACTGCCAGGCTCACAATGTGTGAAATGAGGCCTTTAGATATTTTCAGCTTGAAAAAGTTTCCCTCAGTGATGTTTTACAAATAGGATACTCCAGGCTCAGGGCGGCTAACAAGGAGGCACGAGTGCCAAAGTTAAAACAGATAAAAACAGAATAAAACAATACAATACAAAACACTAAAGTGTTGGTTCTCTAGATGTCACAGAATCAGTAGTTGCAAGATGGGGGTCTGGTAAAAGATATTAATTCCAGGCCAACAGCATACCTCCTAGCAGCACAACCATCCCATTTTCATTCAGGGATGTCTCGCACCCCATTTAATATCCGCACAATTGGTGGTCAAGGTGCAATGATGGGGGTAACGATGATGGAATAATGGTGGCGGAGGCTCCTACTCAAAAGCCTGGTGGAAGAGCTCCGTCTTGCAGGCCCTGCAGAACTGCGCAAGGTCCCGCAGGGCCCGGATCTCCTCCGGGAGCTCGTTCCACCAGGTAGGAGCCACCACCAAAAACGCCTTGGCCCTGGTAACAGCAAATTTGATATTCCTGGGGCCTGGAATTACCAGGAGATTTTGACTCCCCGACCGTAGTGCCCTTGGGGGAACAGAGTTTTGAACTCGACGGATGCTTCCTAGTCCTGTGATTCACATTTCTAGCTGACAACATTTTGTCAACTCCCGTCACCTCCTAAAAACCTTGTGAGGGCACATGGATTTTTTTTTTTAATCGCTACTCAGGACTAACAGATGGGGAAACCGAACGGAGAGATGGTGACTTGGCTGAGGTCACCTTCCCTGAGCACTTAGCTAGAGATTTCATGTCTCCCTTCACTGGGCCACATTGCTTTCCAGGGCTCACCACAGCCATCTGTTTTCAGTACTAGGGCTTAACCCTGGCTGCCTGTCAACGAAGGTACACATGAACAGATTTCCTTCACCGGTTAATCAGAACCAGTGACGAACATGTGAACTCCCTTTGGCTCCGTTTAGCATTGGCTCGATATCTCTGAGCTTTCTGAGCAAGCATTTGGCAAAAGCGCGTCTGTTTTCCATGCACTTCTCCCCAGCTTGCAGTGTTGAGGCCTGCACCGAGGTGGTACCCTGGAGATGTGTGTTATTGTATTGCTGCCAGTAATCCTAGTTCGGTTTCAGCTATCGAGCACCAGTCCCACAGCACTAGTCATAGCAAAGGGCCGGTTGAGATGTCAGCCTCCTCCCACCCAATCCCAACAACAACAACAACAACAATGTGGGAAGAAGAGATCTGGATGAGGGACAGTAATCACAGAACATTTTGGAGATGCAGCCAAGAGAATTGACTAAGCGCTTTCCAAATGAAAGGTCACTCGGCTGGCGGGCCTGGCCATCTGGCGGGCAAAAATCAGTCAGAATTTCACAGCGGGTGCCTGGTTTGCCAAATGCATATACACAGAATCTTGTTTAACATTGAGAATCAAAGACCTAGAGGGAGTGATGGTGCCCTTGTAGAGAACAGCTGAACATTATGAGCTCCACAAATTCATATATGGAAGCAAGTAATTAAGAATTTTGGCAGCACCCCTGGTAGATACAGTGGGTCCCCCCGCACTTTTTAACTGGAGATGCCAAGGACTAAACCTGGGACTTTCTGCATACAAAGCCAGTGCTCAGCCACTGAGCCGCATCTCTTTGCAAGGTACTGACACTTTCTGGACAGTTTTAGGACCAGTTTGGTGAGGTGGTTAGGAGCATGGACACTAATCTGGGAGAACCTGGTTTGAATCCCCTTCTCCACATCCAGCAGCTGGTGTGACCTTGGGTAGGTCACAAGTTCTTTCAGAGCTGTTGTCTCAGGAGCAGTTCTCGAGAGAGCTCTCTCAGCCCCACCTACCTCACAGGGTGCCTGCTGTGGGGGAGGGAAAGGAAAGGAGATTGTAAGCCGCTCTGAGACTTCTTCGGGTAGTGAAGGGCGGGGTATAAATCCAATTTTCTCCTCCTCCTCCTCTTCCTCTCCTCCTCCTCCTTCTGAGATGGCATCTTCCTCCCCCTGCCCTTACAAATTAAGTGTAGAGTGATTTCTTAACTCTCCTCAGAACCAGGGGTCATTTCCTGCAGGAGCGCACAGGAGCAGAGCTCCGGCAGTAAAGAGCCCAGGGGGTGGGTACATGCAACAAGCCCCACCCCCGCTCCCAGCAGCCCTCAGTCAGAGCAAGAAGTAGCCAGGTAAGTTGCAGAGCCCCCCCCCCCCCGGCCCCCCGGCCCAAAACAATCCCCTGGTACCCCTACACCTTAAGACCAAGGTTTATTCAGGGACAAGCCCTCCCTCCTCTGCCAGGACAGATCTGCACGTTCCCCCCCCCCCCCCCCAATAGCTAGCAATCTCAAACAGTCCAGTGGAGCCTGAGCGGTGGGTGTTGCCTTCTGACACACTTCCGGTGATGTCAGGGGGTGTGGCATATGCAAATAACTTATGCAAATGAGTTATGCTAATGAGCGCCTGCACCTGTTTTTCTACAAAATGACCCCTGCTGAGTCAGAACCATGAAAAACTAGAACTGGAGTGATTAAAAACTTAAGGAAAAGCAACGAAAATGTCTTGGTCTCTTTGGGTGTTTAATGGCTTGCTTTTAACATTGATCATTTATGTTGTTGTTTTTATGACTGTTTGGTATCGTTTTCCCCTTGTGAGCAGCCTTGTTCAGGCCTCTGGAGAGGCAGCGTATGCATTCTCCAAATAAAAATTAAAAATACGTCTCTTTTTCTCTCCCCCCCTCCCCACCCCCTCCCCCCTCCCCCCCTTTCCAGTGCAATGGATGGACGTGGTACCTTGCCAATGACTTCCAGTTCTATTTAACAACCCCTCTGCTCGTTTTTTTCTACACCAGGCAAGTATGTGATGAGAAATGAAACAGTTTCCTTATGCTGAGTACGTTAGAGGGCTGATGCCTCAATAGCTAGATAAAGAGATGAAACGAAAGTCTCATTTGTTGCTTCTGGTTTCTATTTTCTTGGCAGAAGTAAGCGTGCACTGATGGCGTTAGGAACCTTTCTTTTCCTGGCAACTTTCACAGTCACGGCACTGCTGTCATTGTTTTACAGACTTCCTGTTGCGAACCCACGTGACATGAGGTAAGGAGCTCTACATTCACTCCTGTAAGCAGGCCCGTAGCCACAGTGGGGCATTTAGGGGTGGTGTCCCCTCATTTGTGGCCCGTGCCCCACAACTCCTTACCTGCCTGCCGCACTCTTTCACCTCAGCTACTACAGGAGAAGGAAAGCTGGCCAGCCAGCCAGTATGATTAGAAGAAGAGAGAAGAGATTGGATTTATACCCCGCCCTTCACTCGGAGTCTCAGAGTGGCTTACAATCTCCTTTCCCTCCCGCTCCCCACAACAGACACCCTGTGGGGGAGGTGGGGCTGAGAGAGCTCTGACAGAACTGTCCTTGAGAGAATAGCTCTGACAGAACTATGGCTTGCCCAAGGTCACCCAGCAGGTGCAAGTGGAGGAGTGGGGAATCAAACTCGGTCCTCCCAGATTAGAGTCTGTGCACTTAACCACTACACCAAACTGGTCTCACTGGCCTGCTACTATAGCAGAGATTGCATACTCACCGAGTATTAATCACACTGGCTGGCTTTCCTTCTTCTGTAGTGGCCAAGGCGAACGAGTGTGGCCAGCAGGTAAGGAAAGACCCTTCTCGTCTTCGCCTGCCTGCCAATGGGCGATCTCTCTGTCTCTCTTTCCCCTGACCCTCTCTCTCTCTCCCGCCCCCCTGGATTTCCAAATGCCCCAGTACCCAAAATTTTCTGGTACGCCCCTGCCTTTAAGTAACAGATTGCTTGTACACTGCTATTAGAGTGGCCAACCTCCAGATGTTGCCTGGAGATCTCCCACTATTACAATTGAGCTCCAGATGACAGAAATAAGAACATAAGAGACGCCAATGTTGGATCAGGCCAAAGGCCCATCCAGCCCAATACTCTGTGTCACACAGTGGCCAGAGTGCCATCAGGAAGTCCACCAGTGGGGCCAGGACATTAGAAGCCCTCCCACTGTTGACCCCCCCCAAGCACCAAGAAGACAGAGCATCACTTGCCCCAGAGTCCCTATCTATACCTTGTGGCTAATAGCCACTGATGGACCTCTCTGCCCCATATGCTTATCTAATTCCCTTTTGAAGCCATCCATGCTTGTAGCCGCCACCACTTCCTGTGGCTTCGAAGCTTAGTCTATCAAGGACAGGTCCCACATGAGATATGGTTTAATGAAATAAGGGCTAGTCCCTATATTAAATGTAGCAACTCTTGAGAAGAGTCTTTAGAAACCAGGAAAATAACATTACAACGTAAAGAAAATTTATACACAATACCAGTTAAGTTGCTTCTGAGGAAGTTAAGAGACGAAACCAAGCATAAGCCGTCTGCTTTGTCAAGAAGCTCTACATTCTTTTGACTGTTAACAGCACATGTTTTGGAATTCCACTAGTATCTTCTGGCTGTTGGCAGCAATTGATATTTTGTTGTATTACCGTGTTATTGTATAACATTAAGATATTGTATGACTAGGTTGTATACCTTGTGAATATTTTGTATACTTAGATACTATAATCAAGTATAAAAGTAATTGTATTAGCATACATAACTAATGTTTCAGAGTGTGTTATTGGACTGATATTGGCCCCAGTTTTGTTGTCTTTGGAGTTTGGATACTGGGAGGTCTGTCTTTTGGGTTCATCACACATTATGCATTCAATGGCAGCTTATTGAATACATTACAATTATATGACAGCAAATTCCAAACTTATGCAGCACAATTGTGGAATACTCATAGACTGTATGTACTTTGCTGTATGTATTATGTGCCATCAACTTGCTTCCAGCTTATGGCATCTGTATGAACTAATGACCCTCAGAATGTCCTGTTGTTAACAGCCATGCTCAGATCTTGCGAAGTGAGGGCCTTTGTGGCTTCCTTTATTGAGTCCATCCATCTCATGTTAAGTCTTCCCCTTTTCCTGCTGCCTTCCACTTTTCCTAGCGTTATTGTCTTTTCCAGTGAGTCTTGTAGTCCTTTGCCTTTGGGAATCTAGCTTTCAACACATGGTTGTGGGTGTTTCCGTATGGAGAACAGGGCTTTTTTTCTGGGGGAACGCACCAGAACAGAGTTCTGGACCCTCTTCGACAAAATTCTTTTTAAAATGTTTAAAAGTTCATGAGTTTTTAGTGTACAGATTGAGAACTTCATTTCCTTCTATGAGTTTCGGCACCTTGGTGTTTTTTTTTAAAGTCCTGATGGAGATCTGCTGGTTTCAAACTTTTCTCAAAAGTTGGATCTAACAGAAATGACCTAGTGCACTCCTGTTAACAGGTTCGGTTTTTCAACCAGTCAGAATTTTATAGACTTTAATTTTATTTTCTTAAAATGGTTGTCAGGATTGATGATACGAAACCAGGGGGGAAATTGCAGCAGAGATGTTTTGGTGCATGCATTAATTAATAACGCATTTTGCATTAAGACATTATAAGGGGGAAGTTGCTGGGTCTGAAGGGCTTTGTACATGCCCAGGAGCACTTTGCTTTCAGGGCTTTGGGTTTCTTTATCCTCAAGGGCAACAACTCAGTGCATGCTCAGAGGTATGCTTGAGGTGCCAGAATTTCTTAGAATAAACCTGAAGCCTACAAGACAGCTGTTTTTGCACGGGGGATTTCATATCATGGCTGATCCATAAATGTATAGACTATTTTACTCTCCACTGCTTTTAAAAAGACAAAAATCTGCAGCTATTACTGTGCAAAATAACAGGCGGTGGCATTATACTTTCTTTCACAGCAGAGCTGTCCAGTGATGCCATAATATATATCTATATATCTAATAGCGAACTTGCCCCCGGAGTGCGGATCGCTAAATCAGCGCTCCGGGGGCAGCTGGGGGGCCGGGGGAGGTTTGTGCACTCTTGGGGCAGTCCCCAGGGGTGCACAAAAATCTAAAAACTAAAAAAAAATATCGGGGGGATGTTTAAATCCCCCCAAAAGTGAAAGAGCGTTCGTGCGCATTGCCGCCGCCACCTCGGAGCCACCCGGGGGGCCGAGGGGAGGTCCGGCTTCGCTGCTGCCGCCGCCTCCGCCACGGACCC